ATCTACAAGGATCCCTGAAAAATATCGGTGAGCTTCTCTGTTTGCCCTATAATAACAATTACAAATGCCAAGCAAGAAAAATCATGAGCAACATTAAGCCCTCAGGGACGTTTTTAGGGTGACATTGTGAGAACAGTGTGCATATTTTATATTTTCTTTATTTCAATGTTGCTGCTTTGCTATTAATAACTTAATTTGAACAGCATCAAAAATAAGAGATTTGGATCTCCAGGGATTGCAATTAAAGGTGGGGTATGTATTTTTTAAAAAACGCTTTAGAAAACTGAGTCGGCCCGAGTACCAAAACAAACTTGTAGCCAATCAGCAGTAAGGGGTGTGTCTACTCATGATGTGGAGGAGAGAGCATTCAGTGCACGGGACGGACATTAGCCGAGCTGAGCGACAGAAAGATAGAGATGGGGATAAAAAACAAAAGAGGAAAACGTCTGCGGAACAAAAGAAGGCTTAAGGCAATAAGGCAAGAAGTAGGACCCATGTAAATATCTGATCAGCTTTCCAGCGCTGGAGAGAACTCAAGGAGCGGAGGCCTGCGATCGGACGCAGAGGTTGCTTTGTTTCTTCTCGATAGGTGAGTAACACCGTGTCTGCGCCGCAACAGCTAAAGTCTGCCTAGTACACTGGACGCGACAAAGCGACCATTGAAAATCATTCGAAATTTGTGTCAATACGTCATAAATAGAACGCAGCAGTATTCTGTCAGGGATTTTTCGTGTCGTGCCACGCTGCATCCAGTGTAGACCATAGATATGTATATCTATCTATGGTGTAGACAGCATCACTGATTATAATGAGTTCTATAGTATTTTGTCGCGCCGCACCACTCGCGTCCGGTGTAGACACGGTGTAACATTGGTTTTGCTTTGTTTCACAGAACTAATCGTTGCCTGGGTTGCGTATGAATGTGTGGGGCGGAGCTATCAAAATAGGGGCAAGACCCTTTTGGGGTAGGGGCGTGTTTGTTTTGGTGATTTCAAATGTCAACATTGGCTACCAGAAATCACTTACCCCACCTTTAAGAGCAGGTGTAAATAGTAATTGTGATCGGGTCACTGAAAACACATCTTAAAACCAGTTGGAAAAACCAGTTGGAGACATAGTCTTGTTTCATGGATGATGTTTCATGGTTTCATGGATGAATTGGAACTACTTGAGTCAAAACTGAAATACACTTTGAGCTTTACAGTGTCTTATTCAACACCAGAGAGAGCTGTTCATGTGAACAACAAAAGAAAACAGTAAGCAATGATACTAACCCATTGGGGGCGTGGCCAGTGTCTGTCTCCCTGCGAGCTGGGCGGGGCCAAGACCATCCAAAAACTCAGTGAACTGGCTGTCTGAAGAGATCTTCACTCCAGGGAAGATTAGACTTTGAACAGATAACGGACAGAACATCTATTAATCGGGTACTAATAGCCTCTGACAAGACATCATCACGGACATAAAACCCACCAACCAGCAATAGTGGTGATGGCATCATGTGATTTAGGAATACATGCACCATCGTATTCAGAAGTAGATTTTACAGTACTTACTTTCCAGGTTTTGCCATTTCACTGTCTTCTGTGGTCTCTCGGCTGGGCTGCCGTGTCATCCTGCTCTTCATCTCGACTGCTAAACCAGTCTCTACACTCCGCTGGATCGCCAGACGCACCGGCTTCTTCTTCTTACCCTCCTCTGAAAATGACAACAAGGGAAGGGAAGATGAGTAAATGTGTGACACTTCTACAAACAGTGTCTCGAGCCCTTCTTGATTCTGAATCCAACACCATAGTTTCTTGGTCTTGTCGTGACTCGGGAGCATTTGGACTTAAATCGGATCAAGTGCAGTGTTGAGTACTACAAATCTGCAGATATGTTTTGTGGTCTGTACCAACTCACACACAAGGTCTCTCAGTGCAATCGTCTATCACTGTGTGCTGCGGAGTGTCACGTGACACTGACGTGAAACCAGGCTTCATTCATACCATAGGAAACATTCAGAGCCTCTTCCACTTTCTGTCTAGTCTCAGACTCAACCTACTCAGGTCTCAGCATGGACTCTGACTTGAATGAGCTGGTCTCGGCTATAGCATTGCCACTCCACACCTACTGCCATTGTTTGGGCAAACATATAGTCCCATCCCAAACTTGCGGCAGAAGAGTTGCCAGATCTCGACATGTCAAACCACAAAACAAACAGCAATGTTCTGAAAGAGCCACAGAGCAATAGTGTTCACACTACAAATGGTTTCTTACTGTTGTCTCTGCTCATCAAACTGGGTCGGAGAAAGTATTTTAACATCTGAAAACATTACATATTTCACCCTTTAAGAAAAACACATCATTGACAACCACTGAATGAGATGCTTAAACAAAGACGTGTTATGACCAACAGTCTGTCAGTCTGCCACTCTGAGCAGCAGCACAGTCCTGAGTGTCCCATCGATCGTTCTATCTATCTATCTATCTATCTATCTATCTATCTATCAGATTATGCACATATCCATCCATCCATCAGATTATACACATATCTTATCATCCATTCATCCATCCATCAGATTATCTATCTATCTATCTATCTATCTATCTATCTATCAGATTATACACATATCTATCTATCTATCTATCTATCTATCTATCATCCATCCATCCATCCATCCATTATCATCCATTCATCCATCCATCAGATTATCTATCTATCTATCTATCTATCTATCTATCTATCTATCAGATTTCCAGATTATACACATCCAATCAAAGCAGAGAAACCAACATAAATCACACATCATATACAGCTCTTCTGGCTTCCACTTGTTCACAAACCATTCACAACGCAACGAAAAACAGTGCTAACAAAAAGCTTTCAAAAGAACTGGACAGAGCAGCACCTGTCACACTTGGCATGTGGCTTCATTCTTACCTCTGTCTGTCTCGTCAAAGAAGTTCATGCAGGGGAAGTAGACGGCCAGTGCCTCGAAGGAGGCAGACAGGCTAAGCCGGCTCTGTGAGCGCTGCATCCGCATGCCGGGAAGAGCGGCGCTGCCATCATGCCCTTGTCTGCCCATTTTACCACCCCAGCACCCTCAAACACCTCTAACAACACCGAAAGAGGATGGTAGACGAGTAGAGCTGATGCTGTGAGACGGTTTTGGAGAAACACGTTTGGTAGGGTTGTGCTCAAAGCCTCTCATCGGTAGCAGCCGCGAGTCTTATTAGCTCTCAGGTCGATATGCGGTGAGGATGACTGTCTGACTGCCTCCTCTGCAGCGCGCTACTTCATCTGAAGGGTGGGAGGGGCAGACGGCGGCATGTGCGTGTGGCTCACAGATGATGTGGCCAATCAGAGGCAGATAAACTAAGAGACCCCTCAAACGCTTCTCCAGGAGACAGAGCTCTGCCTAGAGATATGTCCGCACACAAACACATGCACAAGACTTGCCTTCTGACTGCAGCTTCATCAGCCACTACACTGACAATTATATTCACACAACAGTGTTGGGAAGTGGTTAAAAGTAGCAAAGCTACTAACTTGATTACATTTAATTAGTGGCGTGACAACAATTCAACTGTTTTCATGCAGCTTTTCCAGTAACAAGCTGCATTTTTCAATGAAATGCTACATGACTGCATTGTATTGTGGACACAGATGTACAGAAGAATGTACAGAATAAATGTTTCTTGAGCAGCAAATCAGCATATTAGAATGATTTCTGAAGGATCACGTGACACTAAAGACTGGAGAAATGATACTGAAAATTCAGCTTTGATCACAGTAATATATTGCATTTTAAAATGTTCAAATAGAAAACAGTTATTTTAAATTGTAATAATATTTTGCAATATTACTTGTTTTATTGTATTTTTTATCAAATAGCCTAAATGGAGCCTTGGTAAGAGACATCTTTCAAACAAACCTAAATGGCACAATCAATTATTGAACGATTAACACGTCAGTCAAGCTACTCTTCCTGTATAATTAGGTGGTTATTGTCCAGAATATGCTGCAAATAAGTTCAGACTTTCTGCGATCTTCATTAAACTGTTGATTACATTTTCTATTGTTCTTCATTAAACCACCACGCTTGCACAAAACCTCGTCTTTCAAAGCTTCTGGTAAAAACATTGCAAAGTTAAGCTTAGTAATCTTTACTATTAACAGCGTGACAATAGCAGTCTGATTTCGTTACTGTACAGGCATGAGATGACAATAAAACCTGACATTTCAGTTCATGATGAGTTTTTAGGCAAACAGACACTGCATGTACCTCAATGAAGACAGGACCTTAAGCTTAAATGTGAGACAAAATGTACACTCCTGTAGCTATAAATATCATATTGTGTGTAAGCTGAAATCATCACCCCACTCAATACCGGCTCAAAATAGAAACATCATGAACCTTCCTATTAAAGTCTGAAGAATACAGTCGTGACTCATACCACTGCTCAAACATGTCAGACAGTAACACAAATAATGTACTGCACATAAATCCAGCAGAGCGCAACACTTCCCAGCACGTTTCTCTTGTATCGTTTCTTTTAAGTACACAATCCAACAAACTTAAAATACCATCTAAGTACTAAAAATAACTGGGTAGTTGAAATCTGTAATGTAAACCACCGCCTAGTAAATATGCCGTCTATATTAAACACTAAGATTGCAATAGTGCAGACACAGAAGACTCTTATCTGACATTAGACTCACTGTGTGGTCTCAGCATGTCAGAACAAACTAAAAGGATGCTGGTTTAAGTCACGGTCGCAGACAATGTGAATGCATAGAGGTAAAACACCTGTAGGGCTTTATGTCTTCAGATGTAAGATGCAGCAAGTACATGTGCATGCAAGCATTATAGTGTATAAAGCATGGCATGCTCCAAATCTGTGCTCACTTCAATTCCAATTAATTTTTTTTTACATTTTAATTAATTCCTGTCATCAAGTCTGAATTTATTCCAGTCTTCAGTGTCACATGATCCGTCAGAAATCGTCCTAATATGCAGATTTGCTGAAGAAGAAACATTTCAAAATTTTGATTAATTTCATACGTCATTACTGGATAAAAAGTATTAATGTCTTTTTTTTTTAAATGACCACAAACATTCTGTTGTGTGTGAAATGCAGTATAGCTATAAATGGAATACAGACAAAAATAAACCTGAAAGAATCTGTCTAACAAAGAAATTAATTATTCCTCATTTCGAATTCATAATGCAAGACTCAGGGGGAGCTTTAATGCTCCAATAAATACATTGAATAACAACCAGGTGTTAAAATGGCTCTTTACCATGGTATCATGTGCTGAGATATTGGCTCGTGTTGATCTATGACCCACGGGAACAGATGGACGTAGTGAGCAGGCAGTGTGTTATCAAAGGGTTAATTCACCCAAAAATGAAAATTAGCCCATGAATTACTCACCCTCAAGGCTTTCTAGGTGTATATGACTTTCTTCTTTCAGACGAATCCAGTCGGAGTTATATTAAAAATTGTCTTTGATCTTGCAAGCTGTTTAATGGCAGTCAGTGAATGTTGCAGTTCATCAGTCCAAAAGAAGTGAAATAAAGCGCATCCATCCATGAAAAAAAGTGTCTCACACGGCTCCGGGGGGTGAACAAAGGCCTCCTGTAGCGAATCGATGTGTTTTTGTAAGAAAAATAACCATATTCAAAATGCAATAATCAATTTAATCTAGCTTGCGCTAACTGTTGTACACGGAAGCAGTTCCGGGGGAATGACGTATGAGGTCAGCTTTGCGCATGTGCCGTTCAGAAGTGACGAACGCGGAAGCGCAGCGTAGAGATCAAAACAAAACCACGGTCACTAATTAGAAGTACAAAACGAGGATTTGTAAAGAAGAATGTCGGAGGATTTCGATATAAGCCAAGAGGAGACTGGTTTTCCTTTGCTAAAGTAAGGAAACTTTGCTTCCTTTGCTCCTGTAAACAAACGTTGGTTTTCACGAGACTCACCGACGCATGCGCAACGCCGACATCTTACGTCATGCTCCCGGAACTGCTTCGTTTACAACAGTGTGAGCGCAAGCTAGATTAAAGTGATTATTACGTTTTGAATATGGATATTTTTCTTAAAAAAATTCGCTACAGGAGGCCTTTGTTCACCCCCCAGAGCCGTGTGAGGCACTTTTTATTATGGACGGACGTGCTTTATTTCACTTCTTTTGGACTGAAACAATGCAAAACCCGCTGAGTGTACACAGCCATGCGTAACTACTTTTCATGAACACAAAAGAAGATATTGTGATGAATGTTGGTAACCAAATAGTTTTGATAATTATTAACTTCCACTGAATGGACAATAAACACTTCTCAAAATATCTTCTACATTCCACAGAAGAAACTCATACGAGTCTGGAACGACATGAGGGTGAGTAACTGATGACGGAAATGTACTTTAAAACTTTTAATTTGGCATTACTACAAAGTGCACGAAATTGTGTTAAATAGATAGTTCACCCCAAAATGAAAAATTTTGTAATCATTTACTCATCTTCAAGTTGTTCCAAACCTGTAAATTGCAAACCTGTATCTTCTGAACACAAAATAAGACATTTTGAACAATGTGAGTAACCAAATTGTTGCAGGTAGCCATTGACTTCCATAGTATGAAAAAAAAAATGCTATGGAACTCAGTGGCTACCGGCAACTGTTTGAATGCCAACATTCTTCAAAATATCTTCTTTTGTGTTAAGCAAAGGAATTAAACTCATACAGGTTTGGAACAAGTCCAGGGTGTGCGGTGCTTAATTTGTAATTTGTTAAAATTAAATTAAATGACATTTTTAATTTGTAAATTTCGAGGTCCAAAGCGGAACAAAGCGGGGTGACTGATCTGGCAAGCGTGGATATTTTGCATCTGCTTCAGGTAGTTCTCAGTGCCGCCGACTTGCATTTCCTTGGTAAAATATAGGTTTGTGTATGTTTTATTTAATCTATAAAACAGTTTATTGTAAATCATTTTATTTTATGCAAAGCAAACTAAAGGGACAAGATGTCAGTCACCTAAACGAGTCACATCAGTCTTTTTGCAACGATTAATTGTTTAATTTTTACTTATAAAATTCTTATTAAACGAGTTTAAATGTAATAAATATTGTATACATGTTTGGTAAAATATGTTGCATTAAGAACTGTATTTAACAAAAATAAAGGCAATTATCCTCTAAACGTGGTTGTGTGTAATATTTTAACTTTTGAGGTTGTAATTATCTGTAAGTACCTGTTCATGTACAAAGTAAAAAAGCTAGTATTTTTGTAAACAAACAAACAAGAAAGAAAGAAAGAAAGAAAAAAGAAAGAATTCACCATTGTTACACATTTCCGATTAAGCTTTCCTTCCCCTCACACACACACACACACACACACACACACACAAATCAGTGTCCACCAATTACAGATGTAGTTTATTACCGTGGAAATAAAACCTGGCATGGATAACACGCATATCTAATTTCATACTTTTATTATCGTTTTATATTTAAAGGGGATAAAGTTGTTGACATTATCATACGTGCTTTTTCATGAAATATGCATGCTGTAAAACAGCACGAACGTCTTTCATTGGTGCATGAGGAGAGGGATCTGCCAAATGAGGTGCCCGATCCGGATCCAGCTTGTTCCGGCACAAATTAAGCCCTGAGGGTGCGTAAATGACACAAATGTGCAGTATGTAATATTGACAACTAATGGTTGAAATGGGCATTGCAGTCCAAATTCAAAATACTGAAGAGAGCTGTCTCTCCCGCTCCCTCCTCCTCAGACTCAACGCTCATGCGGGTTGCCAGATTGAGGACACAACAAGAACAAGCGCAATTGACAATTGAAGGCAATGAGCCCTACTTTGTAAGTTGAGTTGATTTTTCTGTGTTTTAACATTCCTCTGGTCATAGAGGTTTTTTAGATGGATGCTGAGGCTTTTTAGATCTGGTAGAATCTGCGATCTCTGATCCAGTTTGTTTGCTGGCATCGATGGCTGCAATATGCTGTGTTTTTCACCAACTGGCAACCCGGGGTGTCAAAATACTATTGGGTAAACTGGCAGTGGGCGGAGTCACACAGACCAAAACAAAAACAGGCATTCCGACACGGAACACACATTTCAAAGTAGAATAACTGGCTGTAGCACTGTTTTTCTGATGTGAACCTGGCATGTTTCCTAAATATCTGCAAACATATTATGGTATTTTTATGCCTTAGTACAGTCAAAACATTACATACAACACCTAGTCATAAAAGGGAATGCATGCAAGCATGTTGTCCGATTGTACACACTTTACACAAAGCCAGAGAAACGCTGTGTTCTTTCCAGCACAGATGCGTCACTCAAGCTGTTAGCTTATATGCACTGAAATAGTGCTCATTTGCATCCATTATGTCAACTCACCAGTCAAATCAAAGCAAGCGCTGCAGGAAGTTCCTCCAGCAGGAAAGCCCTTTTAAACCCAACAGTCTTCCCTCAACAGACAGCAATAGGGCATCTGTGAGGGCAATTTACCCCCTCGCATGCTGTAAATGCTGTAAATCTACTAAAGGGAAGCTTTGACCAGTGTGTCTGATCATAGATTTCACCGCACGACCACACAGAGCATCCGATTCAATCCATCTCATCCCAGCAGGTCTTTATGAGGCAGAGCGGGCGCGAGGCATGATTACACCAGTGGGACCCCTGAATCCTGCCTGTGAGCTGTAGAGAGGGACATGCGCTTCCTCAAAGCTAGCTCATATCACTGTGTGTGTGTGTGTGTGTGTGTGTTCAGATGGGCTACTCACTGGGTCACGACTTCCACCACGGAAAAAGTGAATGACAAGGTGCTTTTCTCAGAAAGAGAGAGAATAGGAGGTCATTTTGGGACGTTAAAGGATTATTTTTTTCAAAGATTTTTTTTAAAGGTAAAGTTTCAGTTTTTTCCTATAACACTTTATTAGTGATTAGTAGTTCTTTAATTTGCAGTTAATCATATTAGTAGGATCAATGCTAAAGAAAACCTTTTAAAAAAATGGATTTTTTTTGTATTCATACTGGTTTTATATGGTTTTTCAAAACTTTGATGCTGCATATTAAAGAGATAATTCTTTCAAAATATTTATAACTGAAAAGCAATGAATATTCTCTCATCATTTACTCACCATTATGTGGTTCCAAACCTGTATAACTATTCTGAAAAATGTCTTATGTCATGTGGTGTAACCAAGTAAAAAAAAAATATATATATATTTATATATATATATATATATATATATATAAAACACTTCTCTTATATTTTGAACACATTAGTGTATATAGTACATCGTAATCTTTTTATACATATCATGAAAATATCAAGTTTTTGGGTAGATGCACCATGTGACGTTTTGCAACCTAAATGATGCTTGGTTTATCACAAAAAAAGGTACATTTTTCTTGACTGCGGGGCCCTGCAGGGGCCATCGCAATGACATCACTTTCTGTTTTAGGTTTTTTTCTGCATGGTAGTTGCACCACATGACTTCTACATGAGTTTCTACTGGCAGTGATTATATATATTACACAGGGCTGTAAAATGAATGAACACAGACCTATTCAGATTCAGTTTTATGAATAAATTGTACCAGTTTGACTGCATGGTCCAACTGGATCCTAATGATCCTGATTGATCTGAATGGCTGAGCTGTATGCTCAAAGCCAGCTCTTGCATAACAGTGTAGAACAATATAAAAATATCATGTTGTGCTGGTACAAAAGCAACATTTGCATCAGATGGGATGTACTGTTGGTAATGGAAAGACTGACTTTACTCTATATGGATGGAACCAAAGTTTCCAAAAGGGGGTTTCGCCAGTAAATGCCATAGAAGAACCATTTTTGGTTCCCCAAAGATCCTTTCAGTGATCGGTATGATCTTAGTATGAAGAACATTTTAATATTCTAAAGAACCTTTTTTCTATTATAAGAAACCTTTTGTACAATGGAAAGATTCCATGGATGTTTAGGGTTCATGATGGAATCATACATGCCAATAAAGAACCTTCATTTTTCAGAAACTCACAAGCAAAAGATTGACATGCGATCCATGATGGTGTTGGCATCAGTGCAGCTGCCACGTCGTAGTCCGAATATCGAAATGTGACAGACCTTAAGACGACCAGACCCCGTTCATCTCCACAATAACAAACACTGTGGCCTAGAAAAACATTCAGGCTTGTTCACGGTTCCTCCACATCTATCTGAAGAGTGGCACGTGAGAGCTTCTGCTCAAAGCCACTGTGCTGATAAACGCCGTATTAAATACAACAGACTAACTCTCACTGACAGAAACAGAGAAACCACATCATAGTAGACTGGGCTGTTTAAACAGGCTGAATCGGTGCCTATTGATTGCATGACCTGCATTTACAATGGAACTGAATGCTCTGCAAAATACCTCATCCAAACATGGCCTTCTCTTTATTTGTTATTTAGGTCATCAGCAAAACATCGTATCCACCAGACATCCTTATTCACGGTAAATTAATAGACGGAAAAAAGGTAAAAGTTTTACGTGGGTGTGAACTACATAAAGTAAAAATTGCAAGGCCATCTCCCAAAACACTACACTGCAAAAAAGTTGTTCTTAGTATTTTTGTCTTGTTTTCTCATTTAAAATCTAAACATTCTTGAATCAAGATGCATTTTCTTGAGAAGCAAAATGACTTATGATATTAAGTCTTATGTTCTAAAAAATGTATCTATATTATTTTTACTATTATATATTATATTTTTATTTTATCTAAATGTATTTATATATATTTTTTAATATTTTGCTAGTTCTTGCTTAAATCAAGAAAAAGTATCTGCCAATGGGGTAAGAAAAATTATCTTAATTCAAAGGCAAAACAATATTATTTTTGTTGCCACATTGGCAGATATTTTTCTCTCTTGTTTTAAGCAAAAACTAACAACATTTTTATATTTTTTTTCTGAAAACAAGACTTAATATCTTAAGCCATTTTGCATCTTCAAGAATGATTAGATATCTGTACTGAAAACAAAACAAAAATACTAAGAAAGAAAAAGAGAATTATATACATTAAAGTTTGGGGTCAGTTACAATTTATTTTACTTTTAAGAAAATAATATTTTTTATTCAGCAAGGATGCATTAAATTGATCAAAAGTGACAGAAAAGACATTTACAAAAGATTGTTACAATGTTGCAAAATATTTCTGTTTTAAATAAATAATCTTATTTTGAACTTTCTATTCATCTCATAACTATTCTATTCAACCTGCATCACCAGCACTGAACCAACATGTAAAACCATTCTGGGGTGTGTTTCTTAGAGAGCTGTAGTTCCAACCACGTAAGTTTGCAAATGTTCATTTGAACTATGGTTTCGGGAAACACCGAATCGTTGAACTATGTTGGTAACGACAAAACTTGCAACCACAGTTGGTTAACGGTGCTTTTAGGAAACGCACCCCTGGTCGTTTTAGCAGGGAGCTTCCATAAAGTTCACCACACGTTTGTGTTTGTGTACCAGCTCAGTTCACTCACCCGCCGGGTCCAGCTGGGAGGTGCTTTGACTCTTCTTCCCCAGTCCCACCATGGCGGCCATCTTGGCTCCGAAGCTGGAGCGCCTCTTCTTGTCGTCGTCCTCGTCGTCGTTCCTGCCCAGCGAGCACATGTCTCCACCCACACTGGAGCTCTTGGTGATGTTGGAGCCCGGGGTGGCCGTCTGAGCCCTGTGTTTCATTTTAGATGTTAACTCACTGTCAGCCATGTCAGGTGCAGGAGATACAGGAAGAGGAAAGGAGAGGAGGACAGGGACAGGGACAGGGACAGGAAGAGAGAGGAAGGGACAGGATTCAGCTACAGGATTTAGGAGAAGGGTGAAGGACAGACACACGGGTACAACATACACAAGACGGGACATCTACTGAGGAGCATAAGTGTGACCTGCATCTATGGAGAGCTGCAGGAATTATGTATTTTTGTATGCCAAAACCCAGAAATGAGTTACATTATAAAACGGATAGTTCCGGTCCTTGATTCTGATTGGCTGAGCCGCGTTCAAAGCTGTTGTAAATTACTCTACAAACACACACCTTTGTTTACATTTGTCCAACCACTTTGTTGGAACCACAACTGTTTCTGAGGAACTACATTGTTTGGTGGAAGAATAATGTTTTTATTAATATCATTACACTTTATTTGCTCTGTTTTATTCTGTGAAACCTTACTATGTATATGGAATAACCGTTTTATAAAAGCAATAAACCCCGTGAAGCCGTGGTTTACAGTGAATTTATAACAGCTAAGGGAGTTTTAGTTGTTATAAATTCACTGTAAACCACGTATTTTTAGCTTCGCATCGTGCCTAACAACGCCCCTTAGCTGTTATAAATTCACTGTAAACCACGGCTTCTTGGGGCTTATTGCTTTATTTTAGCACTGTCCTGAAGTCAGTTTTTTGAATGGGTTTTGGTTGAATTCCTGAAATAAGGTCTGTGTTAACACAAACTCTTTATTCTACAACATAAAATACATCAGTAATACCCCTCTTGTGATTTTTTTAAAGCTTTTTCTTTGTCTTGAAAAAGGTGTTAGCCGACAAGTGTCTAAATTGGACTACAGAGGTTATTGAGGACATTAAATATCATCACACCGAACAGATAAACTCATCTGATCACTAGTCGCTTTCACAGCCTCATTATGTTTATAATCTTGCTCTTGTAAACTATTCTGAGAAAATGTTTTTAAATAGAGATGGTGTAGTTTGTTTATAGCCTACTTGAAGCCTAGGCTTCACAATTCATAGAAGTGTTCATTTGTGAAGATTATATGACGAAAAAAACAAAAAAAAAAACATGCAAAACTCATAAACGTTTGCAGGTTACAGAGCTTATTTTTTGCAATTATCCAAAAGCCAATGGAAAATCCTGTTGGGTTTTTGTCGAAGGAACCAGGCTGATGCAAACATTTATGGGTTGGTCAACAAAACCACACCCATAGCACCTAACAAGAGAAATTCATGAAAATTGGACAACTCTGTGGGTGCTGAGGCCTGTCTGAGCCTGTTTTTGCACATCAATCTGTCAGCAAAAGCACCAAACAAATAAAAACGACCTTAAAATGTAGACGGCTTTAGAATTTCTCAAATAACTTGGATGTTACTATACACAGATCATTTGATGAGACATATGAGTTCTTACTGAATTATGTTTTTTTTTTTGTGTAGATTTTAGTATTTTGCACAGTCATACCCTATAGTGAAAAAATATACTAAAATGTATTTGAAATACATTTATTTTGTGCTAAGTATACTGCAAATACATTTACATATTTATGAGCTTAATAAAAATACCCTGCAATTGTACTGTTGGTATACTAAACTAGTATAGTTAAAGTCCGCTAAATTGGAACTACTAATTTTGTACTTAATGCAGTTTAATTGTGCGAAAGTAGTCCAACTAATGATGAACTGAAGTATATCTGATTGTGCTAAAGTGGAACTATTGCAAGTATACTTCAGGTACTGTACACTTTAAATATCTTGCATTTAAAGACCAACATTATACCGAAATCATAGAATCCTTATTAAACGTGTTTTAGATATTAAAACACATTTTATGCATAATATTAAGAAATGTGCCATAAAGAAAGTTTAATTCTAATGTTATATCAGTAAGTCAATAACTGTGTTAATGGATTTGAAGTGTACTTAATATGAAATAAATGCATTTAAAAAAATTTTTTTTTTACTAGGGTAATGGTGTCACGAGGTGTAAAGACTGTGCTGCTGTGTCTATTTTGATCTGCCATAACAGACTGCTGTAAAAAAAAAAAAAAAACTGCTCTAGTGTAAAGTCAGACTCTACACCATTAATTTAATCAATCAGAATTAACTATTTTAACTGAAAAGGTTGACTTTAGCATATCTTATAAAAAGGTCAGTATGTATAGAGACTGTAAGTATCTATACACAGAGACACAGTTTGCAGATAGCTTATATAATGACCTATTTAGATGACATGAGACAAGCTCTCGAGTCAAACACGGAGAAAATAATGAGACGGTGACTCATCAAACTCTCTTGAGAAAATATGAGAGGACGGCTTTAGGATACAAACATGAGATCTGATCCTGTGCCAGTGACCCGTCTGACTAATAGAAACCACAGATTACTGGTCTGTTGGTTTTCTGTGAATGGCAAGTTTTTAGCTGATTTTTTTTTCTGTGTAGGTTTGTATTTACCATATAAAATACTATTGGAGGAGACTTTTTCATTGACACTGAGCTGAAACATTTGTACGGCTGTGATGACAAAGATGAAGCTGTTTCTATGACAACTGTATCTTCTAGCCTCATCTTTGCTCTGAATGTTAAAGTCTTCATCAGGCAGGATCACCTGACATTAAACACTGTAACACTTAGACACGGACTCAAATGTACGTGGTATTTATTATTTTAAATATGCCTCTACAACCTGATATTGCTTGTGATGTGGATATCAAAAGTTTTCAGTAAGTCCTATTATTGTAGCTGTACAAACAATTGTCTATAACTTGATAAAATAGTCTCAACAAACTTCTATTCTTGAAATATTGTACTTAGGATTTTAGAAGGTTTCTGAGCAAAAAAAGACAATTTTACGACCTACTAATTTTCTCCCCAATCTGTGCCCTATGTGTTTTTGTGTCTAAAGTTGGGATCCTGCAGAAGGAACTGCAGAGCAGTAGGTGCTACACAAGACTAGAAACAAGGTTTGACAGCACATTTTACTTACACAGTATAGTTAGTTCTTCTAGTGTTTAAGATTGTGATTACAATTGTGATTTTTGCATATTTTTGGACCTGGTTGAAGGTTTTGAGCTGAGAAATGCAGTATATTTTCATTGTGCATCAAGCACTTTTAGTTTATATGAACTCATGTAGTGACAAGTCTAAAGTTTTATACATATTGAAAGCATTGTATGTCTATATTTATATGGTCTGAACACTGCAGTTCAAAAATGTGGGGTTAGTGAGGTATTATTATTATTATTATTAAGCAAGGATGCATTAAATTGATCAAAAGTGACAGTAAAAAGTAAAATGATTTATGTTACAATAATGTAAAAAAGTAGCAAACCTGTTTTCAACACTTAAAATGTAATTAAATAGAAAATGGTTTTAAATCAGGGGTATTCAACTGAAATTCCAAGATATTTTTTGAAGAATTTTTTGGAATAGTTATACATTTCTATCTGGGCAGCAGAAATACTGTCAAAATAGTCATCAAAGATATTAGACCCCGAGAGCCAAAGCAGTGGTGTCTGAAGATTTTTCTACAAAACAAAATAAAACATTTGACAACATTTGAGCCCAATTGGATATGAATATTAAAAGGTAAGATCCAATGTTTTATCAGGCAATTATTATTTTTACATTTATATACCTACGGCAGAAGACTAAGTGGCTTGAGAAAAGACACTTTATTTTTTGCAGTTTTCCTCGTGAAGTCTGGACCATTTGATATTTTGCTTAAACTATAAACTAATTTCTACTAAAAAACAATGTACGAAATAATCAAAAAGTTTTACGATGAGCAGAAAACCAAGTTAAACTGGAACTTCAACATTTCAGTTATATTTCCTTGCTGTCTACAAATAATTTTTCCAGTTATAACATGGTTTGTTTTGAAATGCTTATTAATAATGCTAAATGTAGATGAAGAAAATGTCGTCACAAACCTTGTTTATACATGTATGACAGAAAAAAATAATTGCATTTGCTGCATTCTGGTTTTCTGCAGTGTTTTAGCAAAAGTAACAACCTATTTTGCTGCTCACTGTGTTGTTGCTACTGTTGTTAAAATAACCGCGTCATCTGTAGCTCTTGCAGAGCTTTACGTCTTTAGCGGGAGATAGAAGCGATGCGCACAGAGAGTCAAAGGGCTCTCACTTTAAACTACTGAAACGGAAAAATTGTGCTTCTGCTGTCATTATGTCTCACCATCCAGTTAGAACCACTATTTTAGGTAATAATATTGATCAAAATGACTGTTTTTACTGTATTTTTAATCAAATAAATGCAGCCTTCATGAGCAGAACAGAATCTTTTAAAAACATTACAACATTTTATCGACCTGTATAATGCCCTAAACTGGAGTTTACTGGAGTACTGGATCTCTATGATGCTGACATGACCTGTGGCAGGAAAGGTGTGTTTTAGACCGGGCCGGGGCCTCAGGGTTACCTGGGAGTCAGCCGGCCCGAACTCTAGGCACGAATCGTTGACCGAAAATGCGTGCAGGTCCCCTACCAAGCGACCTCAGATGCTTCTGACTCCAGAGGTGGAGGTGGCGGGCGAGTTGAGACGGGAGTGCAGACCACCTTGTCGGTTGATATACGCAACGGTTACTGTGTTGTCCGTGCGGACTAGTACATGCTTGCCTCGTTAGCGCCCTTTGAGACGGCTCAGGGCAAGGTGCACTGCCAGCAACTCGAGGCAGTTGATGTGCCAGTGCAGTTGGGGCCCCGTCCAA